GCGCCGCCCCAAACCCGTCCCCCACCGCACCGAAATCCGGGGGAGCCGGTGGCTTTGGGGACAGTCCTGTCACCCTGGATGCGAAAGTGAAACGGGGGACGCCTGAAAACGGCACCCAAGGCCCCAGCCAGTGTCTGGTCGTGGTGGCCTGTGCAGGGCCTGGCTGTTGCGGTGCTGCCGGCACAGCCGGGACCCAGCTTTGCTGTCTGCACCGCGGCTTCAACCCCGTCCTGTGGCCCTGGCACTGTCCCCGGGCACCGGTGACAGCAGGGACCTGCCACCGCCGGGGAGATACCCCTCCCGGGGTTGGCGTCGCTCCCGCTCTGGCGCAGAGCGGCAGGTCGCGAGGAGGAGGAGGAAGAAGGCCGGGGCCCGTCCCTCAGCTGCCGCCTCTGCTCCCCACAGGGCTGTGAAAGCCGGGAGGCTCATCTGCGACTGCCCCGCTGATGCCTGACGGAGCAGAGCGATGAAGGGGTGAGTGCTGGGACTGCACGCCCCCCGGCACCGGGTGGGGGACAGTGGCTGTGCCAAGGCCCGTTCTGGCATAGGAGCTTTCTGCGGATAACGGGGGTTGATGAGGAGGCTGGTCTGGCTGACACTGGGCTGGGTCTGTCAGGGGGACCAGATGATGTCCGGGTGGTGCCAGTTCTGGGATGGTGGGGGTCCCCAGCCCCTCCCACCCCTCACCCGCCTCCCCACACCCTTGCAGGCAGCAGAAAGCAGCCGAGACGGAAGAGGGAACAGTTCAAATCCAGGAAGGTGAGTGGGGACCCCCCTCCGGGCCATGGGGGGCCTTAGGGCCGAGGCTGCCCCGGGAGCTGTGCAAGGAAGCCCCAGGCCCCCAGCCGTGTCTAGTTTAACCTCAGCATCAGGCACCGTGTGCTTGGAGGCATGTGCTGGGCTAACATCCGACCCCATCCTTGCCCCTGGGGGAGAGGGGATGGTTCCGAGCTCCCGTCGGCAGCGTGGGGAGCCCCCGCCCCGGCCCCTTCCCCGTTATGGGCTTCCCCCCCACTTCTTGCCTCAAGGTGCAGTGGCCACAGGTGAGGATCCCACCAGCGTCGCCATTGCCAGCATCCAGTCTGCAGCCACCTTCCCCGACCCCAACATCAAGTATGTCTTTCGTACAGAGAACGGCGGGACGCAGGTACGCAGACCCCCCAGCTGGGTCCGCTCTGGGCGGGGGACACCGAGGGGCCGGCGGAGGGAAGGTTTTGGGGTCGCAGCGGGGCGGGGTTCGGCCCTCTGGCTCGGTCGCAGCCGGAGGGGGAGCGCGGAGGGAAGCGTCGTGGCCTGATCCTGCGTTGGGCAGGTCTGGATGCCAGGGTTGGCCACGGGCGGGCTGAGCTGCCGCCTCGCACCCGTCCCTGCAGCCGTGGCTCTCTCAGCAGGTGATGTACAGGGTGATCCAAGTGGCCGACGGACAGCTGGACGGACAGACAGAAGGCACCAGTGCCATCAGCGGCTATCCTGCCACCCAGTCCATGACACAGGTGGGTGCTGGTGCCAGCTGCTGGTGCCACGTGGGAGAGTGGCCATCCTTGGCGCCCTGTCCCACCGTGGCACCTGCTGTTGTCCCTCCCCTCTAGGCCGTCATCCAGGGTGCCTTCACCAGTGAGGATGCGGTGGAGACGGAGGCCACAGCCACCGAGACTCACTACACCTATTTCCCCACCACGGCCGTGGCCGACACCAGCACCTCTGCTGGTGCAGGGACTACGGCCACCGCTGTCGTCACCACGCAGAACTCGGAGGCCCTCCTAGGGCAGCCCACCCCCACGGGTACGGCCACTGCAGGGGGGTGTCATGTCCCTGTCCCTCAGGACCTTGCCCCCCCCAGGCAGTCGTGGTCCCCTCCGGCGCATTTTGGGGCGCTCCCCGCCTGACCTCCTCTCTCATTTTGGGCTGTTCAGGGCAATTCTTCGTGATGATGTCGCCCCAGGAGGTGCTGCAGGGTGGAGCGCAGAGGTCCATCGCCCCCCGCGCCCACCCCTACTCCCCGTGAGTACCGGACTGCTCCCCACCTCCCCCCAGGCACGGGGGTGTCATAGCCGTGCCAATGCAGAGACCGACACAAGCAAAGTGGGGGGGATGCTCCAGTGGTCCAGCGCTTTTGGGAGTGGGCTGGGTTTCCTGTGCTGGGAGCTGGAGCGAGGCATCCCCCGTGCCAGCCTGGGGTGGCTGGGCCGCAGCCAGCTCCCCACCAGCATTGCCGGGACCAATGCCGCCGCTTTTCCCCCAGGAAGTCGGAGGCGCCACGAGCCACCCGGGACGAGAAGCGCCGAGCGCAGCACAACGAAGGTACTGGCAGGAGGGTTGGGGGGGTGTCATCCCACTGTGGGTGAGTGATGTTGGGGACCAGTGAGGGATGGTGGGGACCGTGGCATGCAGCAGTGTGGGGAGCAGAGCCGTCCCTGGGTTAATGCTGTCTGTTCCCACCTCCTAGATGGAAAAGCTCTAAGAACATAGGAGAAAGCTCTTGTCAGTTCAGGGTAGAACCTCTTTTGGGAGAGCTGTAATTAGCAGCAGCAGGGGAAGCCAGAGCTCGGAAGATTAAGCTCAAACCTTGGGAAGCCTGAGCATGCCCAGGTAAGGCACCCAGGCGGCCCCCAGCTCTGCCCGGCCTCCAGCCAGGAGGAGACGGCGGCAGGGGCGCGTGCCCGGCACGGCTCAGCACAGGCAACCTGGCTGGGTGGAAGCACCAGCTGGGATCCTCCTTCCTTTGGCTTCAGAAACAACTTCTCAAAGATGCTGAAATGTGGGTGTTGGGCTGGTTTGACCCAAAAATCGACTCTCCCGTCCTTGCCCCCAGCCCCCTCCGCCCCGGGACCAGGCAGGGTGCCTGTCCTGCCCTGAGGGTCTGGTGCGGGCAGAGCTCGGGCCATTTGGGTGCTTCACCTCTGCTTTCCCAGTCACCCAAGGGACTGGGTGCCCAGGGTGGGGGGTGGCTGGGCAGGATCCGTCCCTGCCCACCGCTTCTGCCCCCTCTCCCGGGGTTGCCGGGCTCAGTGCAGTTAGGGATAGTGACCCCCAAGCCCAGCCAGGAGCATGCTGGTTTTGGGGGGAGGGAGCAGGGGGGATGCCCCGCTGGGGATCTGGGGACCCGGTGCAAGGCTTGGTGCCCGCTGGGGGTCTCAAGACAGTGCTGATGCCCTCCCTCTCCCTCCTGGCAGTGGAGCGCCGGCGCAGGGACAAGATCAACAACTGGATTGTGCAGCTCTCCAAGATCATCCCTGACTGCTCCATGGAGAACACCAAGTCGGGGCAGGTAGGGGACCCCTCCTCACCCTCTCCCTGGGGGTGCTGCAGGGTGAGGGAAAGGCTTGGTGGGGTGTTGGTGCCCCCCAACTCACCCCCCTGCCCCATCCCCTCGCCCAGAGCAAAGGTGGGATCCTCTCCAAAGCCTGCGACTACATCCAGGAGCTGCGGCAGAGCAACCACCGCCTCTCCGAGGAGCTGCAGGGCCTTGACCAGCTCCAGATGGACAACGAGGTCTTGCGGCAGCAGGTGAGGCAGCCGGGGAGGCAGGGCCCTGCACGGTGCAGAGGTGGGAGTGTGGGGGAGTCCATGCTCGCCTTCACCCCGTGTGTGTCCCCTGCCCCGTGCCAGGTGGAGGATCTGAAGAACAAGAACCTGATCCTGCGGGCACAGCTCCGCCAGCACGGCGTGGAGATTGTCATCAAGAACGACAGCCACTGACGGGGACGGCAGGGACGGGGACTGGCGGGGGGGGGGGGGGGGG